GGATGAAGTTCGTTCATTAAAGGAACAATCTGGTGTAATCTTCACCGTTAAAGATTTGTTGCTTGGTACTACCAACCACAACATATCACTCTACATCTCTGTTAGCATTAGTAGATTTGTGTTTTCCCGAGTTTTTGTAGATTCAAGAGTGTCACTCAAATTAATGAGTCTACGAACTTTATCATACTTGGATATTGATGCTCAAGAGCTTACCGCCGATAAGATGATGTTAACGGGATTCAATCAGAAGGGAGAGAGAGCTTTGGGATCAATTTCACTACTAATGAGGGTTGGAGAGCTAGTAACAACCACTAAATTCCACATCATTGACGCAGAAACTTCGTTCAACACTTTGCTTGGTTGACCATAGATTCATGAGCAAAACATGGTTCTGTCATTGCTAGACTAGTGTATCAAATATTAAAAAGAAGGACAGGAATTTTACAATAAGGGGGATTTTCAGCCATTTTCAGTTCATGAAGTAGGCATCCACAAAGACACTGCTTAATACACTCCTCTAAAGAAGACTATTTTTTCCCAAGAAGTTGTGTCAAATATGATGGAAGATTCAAAGGGATTACAAGAGAAAGATTATTCAACTCCGACTCGATGATCTACCACCACTCCTTTGTAAAGAGTTAGTGGAAGTTCTTTTAGCCCACACACCCGAGATCGAGGTTGGGGATGCGAACGAGGAAGAACCAACATGATTGTTGAACTGACAAGGCCAACCATCAACATCGACATGGAAGAGAGTTCTATCGAAGATAAGTTTGATGAAGAGATAATGGTGATAAAGTAGAAGAAACCATAGTTCTAGATTTTCTTGTAAGATGTGGAGAAAAGTGAATATGAGTTAATGTATGATCGGATTAACCGCTATGTGCATGCCATGACCCTTACTCTGATTCACCCTCAAAAGGTCAAGATTTTAGAGGTCAAGGAAGTCCGGGGTATTGGTTTGAAGCCGATTAAGTTCTACCATGCTTCTCCTACTACTAGTTCTGAAATTCATGTAAATTTGGAAGAGGATGATTCTAATGAACTAATGGAATTACCATTTGGTTATTTTTCTCCTTGTGTGAAAAAATTAATTCAACATGGATATGTGTTGAAGCAAATGCTAAAGGATAAAATACAAGGATATGTGTTGAAGCAAATGCTAAAGGATAAAATAAAACTCTTCGAGAAATTGTGGAATGTTAAAGGTTAAACTCTCAACTCTAAAGAGGGTCTCGGATTTGGTACGATAGAAGCAGTCGATGATTCAAAATTTTGCATGGTTGTTACTAGCAAATTAGAAGAGATTGCCTCAATGTGGAGGATGATTTTGAAGACTCTTCGATATAAGGTGCTCTGCCAGAGTTTGACGAGGAAATTAAGTGAACATTCGAAGAATTGAAGGAAGTTAACCTTGGGACTAAGGAGCAGCCCCGACCAACCTTCAAAGTTCTCTAGTCAGCGAAGAGGAGTCTACGGATCTAATCAAGTTATTTTCATATATTAAGGATTGCTTCGCCTAGATCTTCAATGAAATTCTAAGATTGTCCTCACAGGCTTGGAGTGGATGAGAGTATGACTCAAGTAAAACAAGCTTCCGGAAGAATGCACCTCAAAATAGAACAAAATGTCATTGCCAAAGTGAATAAATTAATAGACGCTAACTTTATGCAGGAAGAACAATACGATGTGGATGGATTTAGTGTGTTATTTTTGCAAATATTTTTTAATATTAAAAAATACGCACGGTAGTAATAATAATAAACATACAATGTAAACCCTAACAAAAATAACTTTAATGAAAATAATTTTATCTATTAAAACCTTTAAACTGTCAAGTCCCCTAATAATAACATAAGTATAGGTATCACTCAAGTAATAAAGAGCTCTAATGAAGTCCTAGATATCGATGCCACAGGGAAGTTAGAAATGATTATAAATAAATTCTTATATTTATAATGTAAATCACAATTTAAACTAAAAAATTGAAGTACTAAATTTGAATCTAAAGTATTAGAGTGAATGCTAATTAAAATGCAGTTAAAAGAACTAAGTTAACTAAATTAATTATTAAACTTTCAAAAGTAAACTTACAAAAACTAAACTAGTTTTTGTGATGGATAGTTCAAATTTAAGAAGGCATCCTTCCCCTTTACATTGAGTATATGGATTGCAAAGAAATTAAAATCATTTGAATATAATTTGATTATATATATATTCAAATGATTTTAATTTCTTTGCAATCCATATACTCAATGTAAAGGGGAAGGATGCCTTCTTAAATTTGAACTATCCATCACAAAAACTAGTTTAGTTTTTGTAAGTTTACTTTTAAAAGTTTAATAATTAATTTAGTTAACTTAGTTCTTTAAACTGCATTTTAATTAGCATTCACTCTAATACCAAATAAGAGTAATCCTATTCTTTACCCTCTTCAAAGTGCATAAAGAAAATTGACTAATCCAGTCATTCACTCTAATACCAAATAAGAGTAATCCTATTCTTTACCCTCTTCAAAGTGCATAAAGAACATTGACTAATCCAGTGTTTACCCTAATTCCGTGGTTAGGCTGGGATGATACTGACTACCACTCCAAAACACCCACTAATCCCTCATTTGATAGCTAACAATCTCACTATGTGTTTCCAATCAACTAGACCAAATTGGCGATTTTAATCAGTCACCTTAAAATCTCCAATTCTGCATCCAACAAAGTATATTTCCCTATTTATTTGCACTCAACTCCATGGATGACAACCTCTCCCATGAACTTAAATATGATTCTCACTATGTTGTAGAAATAATAGACCTTTAGGAACGTATGTTTCTCAACACATTTTAATATTTCAACTGGCCAGATCAAAAATTAAATGAAGATCGAAGTTCAAATCATCACAAAATTTTGACATTTAAAATCGTATAACGTAAAATCAATTCTTTAAAAAATCATATCTCAAAGTAGCAGACGGATAAAGAAGACTACTCAGAATTCATCAAAAGGATACGACAAAACACGGATTTTATATATAAGAACAAGTTTACAAAGTAAAGATATAAAAGAACACAACTTTTCTCACAATCCTTCTAATGCAAATCCCTAGAAGTTTTCTTCAAGTACTTTCCCTCTTTACAAGCACTCTCATTCTCTTTTAGAAGTGTAATGTAGAAGAAATCTCTCACCTTCCCTCTCCTCTTATAATCCTTGAAGAAAATCTTTAAGCCCTTGACTTTCTCTCTCTCTTTCTCTCTCATGCTTTCTTCTTCCACTCTTTGGCCCCTCCTTTTCTCTTCCTTTTCTCTGCCACATGCATGCCCTAAACTTCCCTCTCTTTTATTAGAGGTTTCCTCTCTCCAAAAATAATTTAAAATTCTCTCCAAAATTCTATCCAAAAGTCTACTCTGAATTTGAAAGACATGTCTATTGATCTAAGAGACATATCCCCTCATAAAAGAACTTTCCAAAAAATATAAATACATTGAATCACTTCATGGGGCGTTATAACAAGTGCCCCTTTCAAAATTCATGTGAACTTTGTCCTGAACCGCCTTGATCCGCAAAAGGTCATCTGTGGCGCTTCAGACGCCAACTTTAAGACCGCGTTGTTCTGGGTTTTAGTGCTTCAGGTGCCAGCTCTCTGTAAAATGGCGCTTCAGGCGCTCGTTCTGGCGCTTCAGGCACCAAAATCTTAAAATTTCTTATTTTGTCTCCCAATTTCATCCTTTTTATTACTTTTGCTCCAAATGCCTAAAGGTGATATACCTGCAACAAAAACATAAAAAAACCTCTTTTTAAATTACAATATCTCCAAAAATAAGCATAAAATGTATAATTAAAACAACACATTATTTTGGTGTATCAAAATCCCCCAATCTTAAATGTTATTTGTCCTCAAGTGACACTTTTACTACATAAAAACATATAGCTGAGGATAGAGATTAACTTATAAACTTCTATACTTTA